CGGCGGACACAAGCCGCAGCAACGGCGATCTGCCTCCCTGTCTCTCCAGCTCCTGATTGTCCATTAGAGCTTGTAACCACTGCTTTGGGAGGAGATGCAGATTTAACACTTGGAGCTAACATACAAAGGTGTTTTTTTAACAGTTACTGGGAGTCCAAGTGCTGACACAACAGCCCATCTGTGCAATCCAGCCTCAAACCCAGGTCTACATCATGCTTCCTAAAGCCTGGCTTGCATGAGCGAGAGAAGAGCTCTGCAGAGCCAAGAGCGCACACGCAGACTGTGCAGGTTGCTCTGCAGCCAAAGCCCTGAGCATCAAACAGGAGAGGAGCCAAGTTTCAAAACGCCCGGTTACAGAGCCGGTATCGCAACACCGGCTGGGCAGCGTGAAGCAACAGAGGGGTTTGGCAAGGGGCCTGTTTCGGAGGAAGTGCTGCAGCTCACCCGGTGTTAGTCGCTCCACAGGTACAGCGCTGTCCATTGGGACACTCGGCAGCGCCCCGGGCACTGCCGGGGGCAGCAGCAGCCTCCACTAAGCCGGCCTGGCCAGGCTCTCAGCCAGACCCAGCCCTTGCACTGCACATTTGTGCGGATCCTCCACAAGAGGATCTGCCCAGAGATCCCCCACCCCACGGGCTGCAGGACCAGAGGCCCCGGGACCTGATCTCCCCAGCACACGCGGCAGCAGCCGGGCACACAGATGCCAGACCCGAGTCTGACGCCAGGCAGGAGTTAGGGCACAGCAGCTCAGGCCAGGGAGGCAGAGGGCTCCTCAGGTCAGAGGAATGAGGTACAGACACCACGTACTGCCAAAACTGCACGTGCCAGGCCAGGGCCTCCCCAGTGAGCCCCGAGCAGGCGGCTGGTTGCGCCTACCTCCACGTAGGTCTCGTTGTTACAGGCCTCGGTGAAGATGCTCGGGGTGGCGGCGTGGGCGAGCTCTCCCTCGTCACTCCCACATTCATCTCGCTCCAGAAGCGTCATCAGGTAGCGAGCTAGGAGGAAAGAGCAAAGCCCCTGAGAGTGGAGGCAGCGCCCTCATAGAGGCCCTGTGCCCCCAGCACCCCCCCACTTGCCACGCAGCAGAGGGTTTAGGGGCAGCGGCCACCCACCCTGG